AGCCTAAGAAGATAATTGAATTCCAGCAGTGGCATCAATTTGATCAGTGCTCTAAATGGACATTCAAATTAGCATCTTTCCTGACATAGAATAATTATGCCAGAAATTAGAGATGAGATGCTGGCAAGTATTTGCATCTTGTTTTCAGCCTAAAGGCATTATTTTTCCTGATGCTAATATTGTACCTTGTTGGGTTTGTAGATGTTTTCTTTCTTACGAGTTTTGGGTATCAATGTACACATACCCTGGCCGTGAATGCTCAGCAGATCCTGTCCGGCTGTCAAGTAGCACCATACCACTCCATTGGCAGTGGGAGCACCATGCTGATTTACACTACTGAATATCTGGGTTTTGTTTTCTTACTTTTCCACTGTATCTTTTCTTTCTGAGTAACCACAAGAGCTTCATAAGATGTTTTTCCTTCACATATCTAGCTAAGTAACACCTTTGTCTTTGCACTTTGGAATATAATTTCTGTGTTTCCCTCTGTATTCATCTAATCACAGAGGAGGATCTACACCCCGGTATGTGTAGGTACTCTTAGCATATGCTCATGATTGCCCTGATCTGAGTCTCTTTGATGCTGAGGACCACCACAGTCAGCATCAGAATCCATGAAGACATGGATGATCTGATCTTCGACCCTTCTGCGTTGCTGTTCTGCATTCCTGTCCCCATGGAATTGGAATGAAATGAGCATATTTAGTTTGCAGTAGCAGCAGGGTGCAGCTATGCTAGGCAACATGCGTGGGCTGCTGTTCCTCTTCATGGGCTTGTAGGGTCTGGGATGTTTAGGGATGGCAGTTGTACCTAAACCTTACAAGACAGAATATATACACTCGCACTCGCTCTCTGACCATGAAGAAGTTACCTCAAACACGGTCTAATCTCTCATTATAGAATTGCAATCAATATTGAATAACAACTAGTTTTGATTTGTGTTAATGATGGTAAATTCTTCAGTTAGAGTAGTGAAAACGCTGTAAAACAGGTTTACTTGTTCTGTAAGATATTTGATAGCAAATAAGTGGTTGCAGTAGCAACAAAGTAGATTTTTTTTTGTTGTATATCTGCAACTGCTTTGCGCCTCTTAGTGTTCTGAATTCTACTCAAAACTGATAAACATTTATTTTGTACTTATGCTGGCCTTTCAGCATTATTATGCTTGTAAAATTTTAGGTTAACTTTGTTAGCTAACCCTCTTCTTTGCATTTAACTTTTTAAGGTATCTGTTTTTACAGAAATTTATCAATCTAAAAAATAAAAAGAGAACACAGATCTGAATGTCAAAATTCCGTATGCCCAAAATACATAGTCTTTGTTTCTTATATTTATAGCTGTGAACATGTGATAGTGGCTCTGAAAGGAAGTGGATTTTGAGGTATAAAAAAGCTTTCATTGTGTGGCTCTTGATGAAAGTAAAAAGTTACAATTATGATGGGAATGGGGTTTTTTATTATTATTTTGCTTTGTTTGTAGTCAATTATATTGGACAGGTGTAATTGACTTTATCTGCTTCTAAGAAGTGTAATAATCCCATGAAAATTCATTGGCTGGCATGTCTTATTGGTATTATGTAATGGAATATATGAATCAAATTATGCAGCGGACTGTAGGAATAAATCCAGGAAGAATGTGGCTCTGTCATCAGAGATACCATCAGGAGAGCAGTGGCAGGTCACAGCAAGCTCTAGCTGTATCTGCAGCTCTGAGGACTTTTCGTTAACGTGCAGCGTGGCCAGACGTGCCGACACTCACTGTTGGGCAGTGCCAGGGTTGCCCTCGGGTCCTATAACAATAACAGCCACCTCTGGGAAATAACAATCCTTACTTTTTTGAGCAAATCATTTGTTTGTCTATCATGCTTGATGTTTTAAAATATTGTTTACCTTTTCACAGCTTGCTAATTTTCCTTTGTTAGAGAACCAAGGCTCTTTCAAGCTCTGCAACTATTATTTTATTAGTGTGCTTAATGTTCATCTCATTGGAACGTGAAAGTAGGCTGAAGGATGTTTCGTAAAATACATGGTTACCGGATGAAGGCAGCGCGCCCTATGCTATTTCAGTTTTGCTCCGTCATAGAGAAATAACTAAAACAGTGACATTTTTTAGACTTAAATAATATTTCTCCACCTTGGTGTTCTGCTCCTCCATCATTCAGTGTGGTAAACGCCCAGCCTAAGTCTTTGTTGTACTGGGGTTCCTGCATTACCTTCAAACTATCCAAAATAGCCATCTTCCTTCTTTATGCTTTATTATTGTTCAGAGTCATTCATTGCTAATGTTAACAATAACCTCTTGGGTGGAAGCAGGACGGAAGGGTACATCCCTGGAGGTGCCCATGGCATCATGAACCAGGAGGTCCCCAATGACTTAGGCTCTTGGAGCAGGGGGAAGCTAGCAATCTGGGACAGCCACCCCCAGCACACTCAACGCCCCCTCTTAACGCTGTGCCTTACCCTGCGGTTAGCTGGTGATTTCTGTGCATCACTGCAAATGTTTTCCATCTCATGGTGCAGAGCGAAGCTCTCTGACTTCATTCCAATGGCCCACAGTGCCTTGTTCTTGAATCCAGACATTCAAAAGGAAAATTTGGAAAAGGTCTATATAAAAGGTCAGCTGAGGAAAACCCCTCCCTTTCTTTAAAATGGGATTGCAATTCAGCTGTTCCTATATATATAAATAGAGAAAACGTCCACTGATGTGTGACATCCCCTTACTGGTGATGTGTTTTTGTGTAAGTGGGGGAGTCGTGTGATCATGAGTTCTGGCTGCTGCCTGCCCTCTGGGCTCAACTTCGCTTACTTCCATAATTGCTATTCACATAACTAATTCCACAAATCCAACGGTACTTCCTATAAAAATGGGCAACTCGCATAAACAGGATGGTGCGGTGCAGGCTCCCTGCTGGAAATCGTGGAGTGGAGGAGGAGGTTGTCTTCTCTGACTGTAGGTTATTTGCTGGAAGATTGATAGACTTCATGTTTCCGAGTTAATTCCTTCTGTAGCGAAGCCGAATTGAATTGTTTTACTATAAATCCCAAGTGGCAAATTATTTGAACAACTCCACAAGCAACCACATTTGCGCAGTCTGATTGGCTACCCTAAAGGCAGAACCAATTTAATTATGCTAGTATGCTAATGCATGCAGAAAGGCAGACTCACCTTCCAAGACATCAGAGTACGTAGTCCTTCTAAAGCAATGAGGTCGATGTGGTCAGATTTTACGTTAAACGTGGTGGGGGACAGGTCTGTAATTGTCAGATTTAGCAGGTTAGCAACACTTAGAAGCTTCCTAATACTGATGAAGCATTTCATGTGACAATAAACACGGTGCTGAGTATAGTGATCACCATGATGGAGTGTAGTGAGGCTCTGGAAACTTTCCAGAAGATCAGGTTTTGCATCATTATGTGCAATTCCTGTAACCTAGGGAGAACGATCTGAAACTCTGCTCATTAGAAATTCAGTATAAAAACATCTTGCTTGCATTGCTAATAAAATGTACCTGTGAATATACGCTCTTTCCTGGGGTGTGTATTCTATAGCTTGAAATATTTTGGCAGCTTTGTGGCAATCTTGCTGAAAGGTGTTATTTTATATCACAGCATTCTGGTCAAAAGGGAGATTTGCTCCTAAGATTGAAAAAAGAACTATGAGTGTACAGTGAGGAGAACTCACTTCAGTTGTTTAACAGCGTTATTTAAAATAAAATTGATCGTTATAATTTATTATTATATACAGGTGCTTAAGAGCCCTGAGTGTTCGTTGAAAAATCGCTGAGCTATTAATTTTGGAATTTAAGTGCCTTAACAGGATGACCCCATTACCTTTCTCACATGTACACATATGTCCCCCCCTGCAATTAGAGCTTTTGCCTGTTGAGGTTTGAAGACAGGCCGTAAGAATTGAGATATGTGGATTTAAACGCACCGATATGGAAGGGTTGGCCCGTCTACGACTACCAACAATGTGCTGGTGCACATCCAGCATCCCTGTGCTGCCCTGTGCTGTAAACGTAACCTAGAGGATAGCTGCCTCTGCTACCCCTTGTAATGGAAACTATTCCAGTGGTTTTAATCTTTTTGTTTATGTGGGGTTTTAAAAAATATTTCTGCTTCCCTTTCTTCTATTCCCTTTGCATACCTGCAGTCAGCTGGGTGAGCAGAATTGGGTATGGTATTCTGCGGGGTAGTTGATCTTGAAAGAAGGTGTAGCATCCATAAAAATGCCCCTTTTTGGGTTCCACATCACTGCTTAGTAGCTAACATCTGGAAGATGAGATGTAGCCCCCTGGACTCCTGCTTTCCATGAAATCCTGTCTATCAGATCCCTGTTTCCCTTTCATTGCCCTTTTGCTAATCTTTCTCCATGCTCTTAGGAAGTGCTGCCCATGGAGTGTCACCCACTCATTCATCTACTGAGCAGCATTTCTGTTTGAAGACCCCAAAAACGGCGGTGGGTGTTTCTTCAGCGCATTTCCTCCCTTCCTTTCCCTGTGCACATCCTTGCTCCTGCTGGCTGGCTGTCACCCTGTGCAGGGCTGGCTAGCTGTGGCCCTCGCAGATGTACTGCCCACACTGAAATTTCTCCAGCTCTTAGATTGTTTCTCACCCTGTTCTTCTCTGTGATGTCGAAATTCTCATCAGCACCTGCTGAGCCAAGGTTGGTGTTTGCCAAGTTGATCCAGATCACCCGAAGGGCATTTGTGATATCACAGCAGAACGTACTGGTAGAAAATTGCATCTCTACCCTCTCTGTTCTCCTTTTAAAATCCACTGTTTTGCAAGATACGTGGCACATCCTCCGTTGTTTTATCTGTCTGCTTTCAGTGTACCTAGGAAATATCATAATTGCATCCCAAATTTGGAGTTGAAGTCATTAAAATAAACCCAAATCCCACTCGCTCTCATTAAAGATGATCTTCCTCAAAGGATCCAAGGGAGAAGAGTCAGGGAGAACAATTAAATAGGAGATGTAATTTGTGCAGATGTGACACCATGGCAAATGCCAGCGCCAGTGGACCTTGCAGGAAGCCCTTCCCAAGGATGTACACCTACAAATACATCTTGGTGGGAAATGTGTGAGTTGGGGTGTGAGCTCTTTTAGATCCTATACCCCTTACAAGAGAGCTTTTGGTTTTATAAAGGTTCTCTGACCAGAAGGGAATTGGCATTCATTGCCGAAGGGTTGGTATAATGATGCCATCTCTCTGCACACCCTAAAAGCCAAGATAAGTATGAGCAGGCTGCGAGCGAGGGAGCAGATTGCGGGAGACTGTCTTTCAGAGTGACAAGGTTATTGATGACTTTGAGCAAGTCCAGATGTCAAAGAAAAGCATCCAGTCTCTTGATTACTCGAACATTAAAAACATACTTCTGCCAACTGCAGCGATGCACTTCTATAATTAGAGACTAACTTGAAATAAATATTCCTGTACTTATCATCATTCCAGGGAACAAGTGTATCAGCCAACTGAGGTGTTACGTGTTTTTCATCAGTTTTGGGTGGTCTGTCCATTGCTGAGAAGACTAGAGGTGGGAACACACACATTTTGTGTGACTGAACCTAATACATTGCTGACAGAGCTAGCCATGCTGGAGAATCCTTTTCTAAAACAGGTCAAATTTGCATTTTTTTCTCGTTTGCAAGCAGATGCAGAACTTTACTCCCTGCGCTGGCCCGGATACATTTCATCTGACTTTGTAAAGTCTTAGCAGCAGCTTGCACTGGTGCTATTTACTCCGATTTGTTTTCATGAACCTAACCCAGCTCTTGGCCCCAGGCTTTCAGTGCAGCGCATTTTCCAAAACCACTGTGCGTTATGTGCCTTTCTTTTCCTTCAAAACATCTATTTTTTTCCTTGCGGTGAAAACCTGTGATAACATAGCATGTAGGAAAAATGCTCAGAACAAGCTGTGTACAAAGAAGAGCTGCTAGAAATTACGGGTTTTTTTTTAGCTTAGTAATTTTCTGTACGGTGTTGATGGTGTTGGAGCTCTGTGTACATATATTTAGTGGGCCCATCTGTAAGTACATCATGGGCATTTTGGTTAATCAGGCTTTGGGAATCTTATCTGCTTTCATTTTTAGGCTGGTATGAGAGATTTCAAGTGTCTGGGGTTTCCCCCCCTTCTTTTTTTCCCCCCAGATTTTGTTTTGTTTGGATTTTTTGTTTGTTTGTTTTAACTATCACCAAATCCCCAGTTTTATAACACTTTTCTCCAGTCCTTTTTTTTCCAATTTTCTGCCTTGCTGCATTAAGATGCAATTATGTACTTTTTGCTAGTTACTTAATGTCAAAATGCATAATGTGTCTGATACATCCTCTGTTTTAGTCTGTGAAAACCATATGCAGTACAGGAAAAGATGAGAGCTATTAAGGTTATGTCTTGTCAAGAATTTACCTAAAAAGCTAATTTTTTCCTGATGGAACTTATATCACACTTTTGGGTACAGTGTCATGATTATAGGCAATTAAAATGTATAAACTGTTTCTATTACATATTCTTAGTTCCGGAGGGACTTTATGTGTAAGACTTATTTACTCAGAATTATACATTCCCATTTGGTTGGCACATACTTAGGGGCTGATAAAACTGGAAATATTTTTACAGCCTAATGTCACTGGACAGCAGCAAGTGCCAAAAAGCATTAGGAAAATGGAAATCTGTTCTGTTTCACAGCTGAATTTACCCTTTCCTAGACAGTGATTGTGTTTGAATATTTTATTTCAACTCTGTGTGAGGTGGGTGGAATAAGGTTTAAATTAATAAGTTACATAATCAATGGCAGATATACTAATGGCACACCTGGTTGAAATACGTTTTCTTCTAAAAAAATACTTTTTTCTCAGTTGACATTGGAAGACTCTTGTATTTTTATTTAAGAGCTCTTAGGTCACATGATTTTTTAACACATTAAAAAAATATTATAAAGAAAATTATGAAAGATATAGAGCTAGCATTTGGGTGAGGTAATGCTGGAAAGTGTTCCTGGAGTAGTTTGATATGGACTATTGTGCCTAGCATACATGAAGAATGATTTCATGCTTAACTGAAAAAACATTAGTTCTTAATTTAAATAAAATCTGTGTCATGACCAAAAACTTCTCTATCCACGAGTTGGAGTTTGATGGAAACATGTGGGACTTGGGAAACAGAATTCCCATTTCTGGCAGTTTACTTCCTACAAGCTGTAAAATCTGAGCCTCAGAAAGATGGTAGTGTTGGCAACAGTTAGTTTTTTGTTGTGTTATTTCATTGTCTTTCCCTGGAGAAAGAGTAGTCCCTCGTAGAAAGTCTATTTAGTTCTGTGGCTTAATCAAAAATAACATGAAACCCTCAGAATTTGGCATTCCACAGCTTTTTCCATCTGAATTACTAGTTTGTAAAAATTTTAATGAGCAACCTACCTAAAAACATAAACCAAATCAAAAGCAGGCAGAGAGTACATTGTGCTTCATACCTCCCTCCATTCAGCTGTACAATATTTGCTAATTTTGATAATGTTTGGTATCAGATAATAATAGTAAAATGTAGTTTTGTCTATAGCATTCTGTTTTATCCACTAGGAATCTGTCATATCCACAAAGAAATTATTGAAACCACAGCTAAGTAGTAACACGAGAAAAAAATACTAAAAATATTCACAGACCTTGCAGTTTGCCTCCTCTCAGCACATGTGCCAGCAGGACCGTTTCTGTCCCTTCTTTACTTTCATGGTCTCTAACATCGAGGAGCATCCAGCCACGCAGGGTATGAATCTCTGGACCGCAGGGACACGTTTCAAGTCCGGCGCGGTGTGGGCATGGTGTTCCAGATCTGCAGCGCCTTCCAGGCTGTGAAAGGTTCATGAGATCCTGGGATCCCTTGAAATCCCCAGTAGAGCACTTGGACAACCCATTCCACAGTGGGCAGGGTCAGCCCAGCACCAGCACGGCTCTTGTTCTGGACCATCCTGTTTCATGTTCCCTTTACAGTGAGAGAGGGGCCAGTTCACTTCCACTGCAGCCCACATCTGGGCCGAGTTTGGGAAGACGATGTCTCCATGTCCCTTGGAATAAAGGTCAACCATGAAATAAATAAAAAATAGCTTCAATTTCTTCAGTATTGTAGGATTTTTCAATCCTACAAAACATTATGTAATGAGAGGAGCAGATTTACTCTGTCATAGGCAAGTGGGATTTGTTTAAAATAATCAGAAAATAAGAAAATGTAACAGCCCACTTCTCCACTCCTGGAGACTCTCCCTGTCATCCCTATGGCTGTCTTCTCTATTTTCCCTGTCTCGCTTCCCTTTCAGGCTTGGCATGCCCCCAAAGTGTGTTTGCAGTTTCTCTGCCTACCTTTCCTCTCTTTCACTTGAGCTCTCATATCTTTCTCCATGGCTTATTTTCTATTTCCAATCTCTTTTTCTTCCTGTCTGTTTTACTTTCTCATTAAACTTGTCTTGGCTCTCTCCAGGCTGACCCGGCATGTTTGGTTGGCAGGGTACATTTCACTATGCTGCTTTTCGTCTGCTTGAAGTACAAAAATATTGATATTTACAGAGCTTGTTGTAAAAATCAATATTGCACTAGGCAGAGCAGAACAGCTGCTGTGTTGTAAAGCCAGCCCTGTCAGCCTCAAAAACTGATAGGGTTTTAAGAAATCAGGAAAATAGTGAGCAAACCTATGTTTATGAGAGTTTGGTCTGAAAGCGCTGCAGTAGCATGATGCAATTTCTTGTGTTGCGTGCAAAGAGACATGTTTATTATGAAAAAATCCCCATTCTGCAAGCATCATTTTTGGCTAATGCGGTAGCTCCGGTATACGTCATCTTCAGTGCACACTTCCTCAGTGTATATTCTCTTGAACCTGGGGATATTAACTGCCTGTTAATTCACACAGGAGGAAATAATAGTAAATTAATTAGCTGATAGGTAAAGCTGGTAGTAGCTGCTGCTTTGCTTCAGAGAATAAAGATTTTTTTGCTTTTCCTGTTTTGAAAGCGGGTATTGGCTTTCACAGAGCACATCTGGACCTCAGGCTACCAATAGTCCAAAGAATTATTAATATGATCAACAGGATAATATTAACAGTTTGGAAACTACTGGCTATAATAATTCAAAGTGATTTTTTGCCAAACAGAGCAAGTCAATGACTGGGAGCTGCTGGTCGGTGCCTCAGGCAGTACCAAGTCCTTTCTCCGGCTCCTGTCTTCGATGGCTGGGAAGTTCACCCTTTGCTCCTCCAAGTACCCCAGAGAAGATGAAGAAACTAAATCAATTCACAGCAAATAAACTGAATTTTTCTGGTTGCACACAAGCTGTCTGTTCAACGTGAAAGGAGAGAGACAAATCCTTTTTGCAAGTGTTATTATCCAGTTCAGACAGGAGTTTAAGCATTCACTTGGCCCCACGCAGCTGAACAGTCTCTAAACCAAACTACGTGTAATTAAATACCTTAATGAAATGTCATTTTGAGACTGAGATGATTTCACGTAATTTTGAAATATTAAATAGCTTAAAAATTAATCTTGGGGGGGCTTTTCTTCCTCCAAGCAGCATTTCTTAAGCAATTTTCTAACTTAGGACTCTGGTTTCAAAAGCATTCTTTATACACGAAAGAGAAAAAAAAAAAAGCCAATAGTAAACAAACCTGTGAATTGATGCGAACGCAAATTCCTCATGAATTTCACAGCCTCGTGAACCTCTTATCTCTTAAAAGCCTTTGGAAACTTCTTCATCCTGCTGTTACTTGGCAAACTGCAGTCAAGTATCGCACAAATTTCATTTTTCCTAAGGACTCGCTTGCTGCCCACAACATAATTATACTAACTTCCTCTCCTTTGGAATTTAAGAACTTTATCCATCATTTCTCTTCCTTGAAAAATGTTTTGATGTTTTCAGTAGAATACGTGGTTTCATCCTTAAGCTTAAGTTGGGTCAAAATAATTTTAAAAACATTGTATTTCTTCCCCTTCTGTATTATTAATAATTATCTAATTTCCTTTTTTCTCTAGTAGCTTTCTTGTCATTTAGTGAGGAAATTAGTTTAGGCTTTATTTCTAAATATCATTTAATAAATCT